AAAAAAAAAAAAAAAAAAAAAAAAAAAAAAAGGAAAAAAAAAGGAAACAGCTTGATTTAAAAACATCGATCGATTTATGCCGATGGTGTGATTCTAAAATTCATCGGACAAGCGTCAACTACCGTTTCCAATCCCGAGAGATCGCTCTCGGGATCCGTTTCAATCAGTAACGATATCTGTAGATTTAAATTTCGAAGCGATGGCGGCCGGTCGTTAAATTTGAATTTGTAAATAGGAACGGACTCGTTGCGAGGAACACTTCCACGCTGGGAACCCGTGTCGCATGGTACGTATAATATCAATCATCCGTTTTATTTTTCTTTTCCTTTTTTTCTCGAAAGAAAAAAATCGTTGTCTCTAAAAATATTAATTATCGAATATTACGAATCGGAATTATCGGAAACGAAAGAAAAAGAAAATTTATTGATCGTGAAATATTTCACGATAAATGGCAGTCAGTTAAATGTATGCTGGATATTTTCTCCATTGAATATTTCGAATATTTGAAAAGATAAAATGTGTAAAATATTTTCAAGATAAAAAAAAAAATAAATGAATAAAATAAATAAGTTATTTGCATTCGAATTAAAAATTTAATTATCTAACTATTTAATATCAAGTAAAATAATAAAGCAAGAAATTTAAAAGCATAGAATTTCCTCAAAATTCTGAGATATTAAAAAAAGAAGAAAAAGAAATTGCTACTCAAATAACTATTTACAATTATACCTATAAGAATATAATATATTCTATAAATATTTATGAATATCTATTTATAATATCTATATCTCAAATATATGTATATTTTTGATACAATTATTCACCGCTGCAATAATTATTATTGCACATATGCACAATGCAAATAGCGTATGAACTACAAACCGCGATACTATGAATATATGCATAAATAAAATCAAAAGCGCAAAAAAAAAAAAAAATTTTTCCTACACTTTACTAACTTGTACTATGGAAACGTGAACACTGAGCAAAAAAAAAAAAAGCGCGGCAAGATGACAAGTAGAATGATCCGACGTGTCACAGCCCTACAGCGAGCCTTCAGAATTCAATCTTCGAGAGAATTTGTACCATAGAGTATGATAATCATAGTTGTACCAACGAAGCCAGGCCCATGCAACACATACATACGTTGTAGATAGTAGGGTGGTATTATTTTTAGAGCGCATTCTATTTTCGTGGAGGTGGGCTCGCGATACATTCGGCCGATATTTATCGCGGGTACACGCGCCTCTCGCTATTTACGGGAAGAATCGAAAGTGAATTGGAATCCGACTCTCGACTCTTGCGAATCGTTCACCTTCGTTTCATTCACTGGCACAAATGACATGTATCGACGATACAATATGTGTACGCAATGAATATATACGATGAGAAAAAATATATATACGTGTACGTAAACCATTTTCACAATTTTTATTGCGCGAAAGAGATTTGAATGGAGATTGTACAGAAAATGCCATGATATTTTAATTATTGCGTTAATTATTTGGCAATGATGCGAGAAATTTGATTGGTTTCATTCATGGAAGTATGAATTCGCAATAAGTTTGCTATAACAAATTGGAAATAGGTAGGAAATTCGTGTCCAATGTGAAGAATCCTAAGAATGTAGACGATCATAATTAAGTTTCGTATTCCGAATTTCTTTCAATTTTATTACAGTATGAAAAAGCTAATTTTGTAATATAATATTTTCGAGGAATAAAATAAATGGAAGTTTAAGTGGTTGTGAACTATAATTTTTTTTAATACGACACCCACTTCAAATGAGTTCAAATGTGCTATTAAATATTCTTCTTCGTGTCGAGAGATCATTAACAAGCATGAATAACAGAAAAAGAAGAAGAAGAAGAAAAAAGAGGAATATTCAAGCGGTGAAATACTTTACTCGAATATCGAATATATAAAATGCAATTGAAAGACTAAAGAAAAAAATATTCATACGGTACGGATAATTAAATATTGATCTATTTTTTTTAATTTTAACTTTTAATAATAATCAGTGTAAAACAATAAACGATAAAAAAAAAACTAACAAATATTCATTAAGAATTTTATTAAAAAGATATTAGATTTCCCGATTGACTGCATATCGAATATATAAAAAGATAAATATCACATGTGGAGAATTAATGAAAGAACGTATCCCCGTAGCGAAGGGAGGAAAGCAAAGTTTATCCCGGCGCATAAATTGAACGTGACGAGGGAGAGAGCGCGGCGTAGGAGCGCGCGCGCCCGCGCGCACACGCACCAACACATCGTCGACCCACTCCCGGTCCCCGATCTGACCTCGCGCGCACATTCGTTCACGAACCTACCTCACTTTGCCCCGCGACAGACGTAAACAAAACCGTGGAGTGCCCCATAAAGAGCGATAGATACGCGACGAAGATTATATATGTATGTATAACACTCGGCCCCGAGAAACAAATAAGACGACAACTGACAACTTAAAAAGAAAAACATAACAAACATCTATTCTACGTGTATACGTTGTTAAACAGAGTACTCACATAACGACGTGTACACGATGAACCGGCAGTGGTCAGCGAGCGACACGGTCTCCTGTCGGAACACAGGCGGCAGGGCCAAATAGAGAAACACTTGCACTGCGTTATTATAATATAACACGTGTACCACACGTCACTGGTTTCCGATCAGATCTCCCGTGAACCGGCCAACTAAGTCTGTTACATACGATAACTACACCACGAATCGAACGACTCACG